TCTTTAATTTCCTTCATCAATGTGTTATAATTTTCACTGTACAAATGTTTTACCTCTTTGGTTAAGTTGATTCTTAACTATTTAATTATTTTTAATTCTATTGTAAATGGTATTGTTTTCTTTATTTCCTTCCCAGATTTTTCATTGTTTATTGTTTGTGCATAGAAACACCACTGATTTTTGTATGTTGATTGTGTATCCTGCAAATTTACAGATTTTACACATTCAAAAAAGAATGACAATTATCTTAAACTCTTGCAAACAAGAAGAAAGGGAACACTTCCAAACTCATTTTATGTCACCCTGATAACAAAGCCAGACAAAAACACAACAAAAAGAAAAATTGGCCGATATCTCTGATAATACAAAAAATCCTCAATACAATGCCAACAAGTCAAATTCAATGGCACATTACATAATTATACACCATGATCAAGTGAGATTTATCCCCAGGATGCAAGGATGAGTCAACATATGCAGATTAATCAATGTGACATGCCACATTAACAGAATGAAACTCAAAAACCACACATGATTATTTCAATAGATGCAGAAATAACATTTGACAAATTTCAACATCAATTCATGATAAAGACTCTCAGAAAAACAGATATAGAAGGAACTTACCTCAGGACGATGAAGACATATATGGAAAACCCAGAGCTAACATTGTAATCAGTGGGAAAAATACTTAAAGCTTTTTTTCCTTTTTTTCTTTTAAGACCAGGAACAAGGCACTCTTGCTGTTTCTACTTAACATAGTACAGGAGGTCCTGGCCAGAGAAATTAGAAAAGAAAAAGAAATAAAAATTATCCAGATCAGAAAGGAAGAGTAAAAATGTTTCTATTTGCTGATAACATGACCATATATGCAGAAAACCCTAACAACTCAGCCAAAACACTGTTAAACTATCTTTGACACTTTGACTCTGTGGCTCTAGCTCTGTCTCTCACTGTTTAATCTTGAGTCAACTTCTCCCTCTAATCTGATAATTACTTACCATAGTTTCACTCAGACATTCATAAATACATATTTATTGAGAAAAATAATTCCATTGGCTTTAGGAAATTATCTTTCTTTCCACTGCAACTAGCAAAATTTCAAAATTCAACAATTAGATTTTCACATTTACGGCCTGAACCCTTATTTTTGGTCTTCCTCAATTTTGACATCCCCGAAAGTTATGAGTTTAGGAAGACCAACTTTCATATCCTGTGCACAAAAAAAGAAAATAAAACACATAATTATGTTTTCATTTTAATTTATCCTTTGAGCTCCTTTTTAAAGACTTAAATTTGGTTTGAAAAGGTTTAAAATTTAAATTTTGCTACTGTGTTCTGAGAGTACTCTAAGTTTAGTGAAACTGTTTGAATCAACTTAATTTAGCAAAGACAGAACCCATTATAATTTTTAAAGATAAATCTAAAAAAATGAAGTTCACAGTCAAATGTGTACATTCTTGTAAATGTGATAATGTTCTTTTGTATCATTTGACTTTTTGTCAAGTTACAAGTCAAAACTTAAAAATACCAAAATGCCTATGAATAGAGTTGTTTTACTTTTGTTTTTGTGTTAAGTGACATTGTTTACTAACTTTACTTAAAATGTCAAAGATACTTTCATCTTGAGAAGACTTTAAATTATTCATTACTTTTTTTTTTTTTTTTTTTTTTTTTTGAGTTGGAGTCTCACTCTGTCGCCCAGACTGGAGTGCAGTGGCCGCTCCCGGCCATCGCAGCCTCGACCTGCTGGGCTCCAGCGATCCTTCCGCCTCAGCCTTCCAAGTAGCCGGAATTACAGGCATGCGCTACCACGCCCGGCTAATTTTTTATTTATTGTAGAGATGAAGTCTCGCTGCCCAGACGGGTCTCGAACCCGCGGGCTCAGGCAATCCACTCACCTCAGCCTCCCAAAGGTGCGGGATTACAGGCTGAGCCACCGAGCCCGGCTTATTCATTACTTTATTTAAAAAAAATACATTTATTAAGAGACTGTTGGACTTCGGGCACTATTTTAGCCAGTGGAGATACAGTTTACAAGCAAGATCAGTAAAGTTCCTATCCTCAAAAAACTTATTTCTAGTGGAAGAGACCAAACACAACCAAAAAAGCAAAGCATTTTGACATAGTCTGAATGTTTATGTTCCCCTGAAATTCTTATGTTGAAATCCTTATTCACTAAGGTGATGGTGTTAGAGTATGGGCCTTCAGGAGGTGACTAGGTTATGAGATTAGTGTTCTTATAAAACAGACCAAGATTGGCCCTTCTGCAATGTTAGGTTAGAGTGAGACAAAAGCTGTCTGTGAGAAAGTAAGTACTCTATAGATACAAGTCTGCCAATGCCTTAATCTTAGACTTCCCAATCTCTATAATTGCAATAAATAAATTTCTGTTTTATAAAGCAACTTACTTAGGGTATTTTGTTATGGCAAGTGGAACAGACTAAGACACATACATAGCATAAAGTTAGGGAGTGAGAATTACTCTGAAAAAAAATAATAGTGTAAGGCTGGGGAGAGATTGTAGTTTAAGTAGGTGGTTAGTGAGTGCCTTTTGAGGAGATGACGTCTGGCCAGAGACCCAAATGAAGAAGGTGAGGAAGTCCTATGAATATCTGTAGGAAGAACAAATCTCCAAATGTGTTTTATTACCACTGGGGCACCCAGACCTGAAGACCCAACTTGTGAAATAATGTACAATAAAAAAGCAGACCTAACATTTTTATAAAGATAAAAATCAACTTCCTGTTCTGTCAGGACAAGTCATGGGACTCAAATATCACATAGACATAAATATTCACTTATATGGATCTGTGCCAGGAAAAAGTACAAATCCTTACCAAGCAAAATTAAATACATAGATAAGAGTGAATGCTATCGGCAAGCTGTTAACAAAAGAGATAAATATTCTTAGGTCATAAATTGGTGAAAAATAAATTTTCTTCGGGGTTTTAACTGGGTTCTGACCATCTGCACAAATGAAAACTTACTGGGCAAAAATCTAGATAGCTAAACATAAAACAATGAAAGGAAGTCTCAGCTTGTATCCCTGCCCTAAAATGGAATGAGCTCTGTTTCTGCACAAAAGACAGCTGAGACAAAGTCAGTTATTGATTCCACTCATTTTGGTTTGTTGTTTTAGGGAAACTGCAGTCTCTATAGCTCTTTATGAAGTTATACATATCTTTGAAATTAGGATTTATTGAAATCAGGTAGCCTTTAATAATATAATACGTGTATTTAAGAATACATATAGTAATTGAAGTATCTCACTCAATGTTTTTAGAAATGTAAAGAGGTTAGTATTATTTATTTATTTATTTATTTTGAGTCAGGGTCTTACTCTGTCACCCAGGCTGTAGGGCAGTGGCACGCTCACAACCACTCTGCTTCGACCTGCTGGGCTCAGACGATCCTTCCTCTTCAACCTTCCAAGTAGCTGGAACTACAGGTGCGCACCACCATGCCTGGCTAATTTTTTTTATTTATTGTAGAGACAAGGTCTCACCATGTTGCCCAGGCTGGTCTTGAACCTGCAGACTCAGGCAATCCTCTCACCTCCAAAGTATTGGAATTACAGATGTGAGCCACTGCGTATGGCAATGGTTAGTATTTTAATATACTTCACCCATCTTTTTTTTAAAAAGTAACATGTCCTTTTACTTTTCAATTTTTACAAATGTTGCTAACTATTAAAAATAAAGGTAACTGTTGAAACATCAGCCTTTTTGACCTTTTAAAGTGATATTATAAGTATTTTTACTAGATTATTTGAAAATAAACCTTAGCAAGAATATTATAGATGCATGTCTTCATACTTGCTCAGTGAATTCTCTAAATTTCTATGAAGTTCTATTATTATTTTAGATTATCTATATTTTAATTTCCAATAAATTTATAGTTAAATCCATAAAAATTGAAAAAGCAGAAAAAACTCATTTTTGAAGAATTAAGATTACAAAATATATGAAGCAAATGTCACGATAATTTTTTTTAAATTTCCTAGTCCCACTTACAAATATATTACACACTTCACAGATGATTACTGCTGCACACTAAATTATATTCTAATGACTACTGGGATTAATGCAAGAGTTATGCAAGAGTTCATGCTAGAGTTACACAAAGACTGAGGAAGTCAGATCGTGGAATGCAGTTTAGTGCAGTTATTAAGTGCAGTTTGGCACTGTTATTCACAATTCACAGTTCCGATGGCTCCCCAAGGCTCAAAGGATCCTGACTATACCAGTATAGCTTCCAGACAAACTCTTGAAATTTTAACTAACCTGTTTCTCCCACAAATTTCATATAACTCTTTCCTATATTGGCTCTGACATTGTTGAAAAACAAATTTTTGTGATGATTTTATCTCGTTATAGCATTTAATATCCTGTTGTAATGAAAATGTTTGAACTTATGTTTTACCCACTTGATTTTAAGTAGATTCTTTCAGTGTAGAATCTATTTTTCATATTTAAATATCAAGTAGAGTAGCAGAAATTACATATAAATTACACTTAGATATTAATGAAATAAATTAAGGACATAGCTATTCAAAATTGATGTACCAAACAGAGATATGTTAAGACTTTTAATAAGTAGCTGAGATTTGAAAAAAAAGGTATTAGGTAAAATTAATTGTACTTGAATTGAAATGGAATTCTGAATAGTCCTCCCACCATTTCCTATGTAAACATAATTCTCAAACACTGAAAAGGAGTCGATTTCTCAATTCTATATACATTTAACTCAGAGTACTGTAGCTGAGAGTTTGGAGTCTTCCTGTGTATATCAGTAGGGGATGGAGAAACACCAAAAGACTCTCTTATCCCCAAAGCATTTTGGAGGTGTCTGAGAGGAGAGAACCTAGGAAATTAGTTGAGGAAATGACGAGAAGCACATTGTTTTGTGTCTCAGGAACCATGTGGAATTCCAAGATAAGAAAAACAGTTGCTAATTTGAGTATAAAAGCAGGAAACATGATACACTTATTTCCTTTTATGCAAACACAAGTATATGAGGGGTTTTGTAAAAATTATTTTTCTCTCGCTGAACTACAAAGACATAGTAGTTGGACATACTGTTTTCTTCTTTTCTTCTTCTCTTTCTTCTATTTCTTGTGGGTATTATGCCTAATAACACAACAAGTTTAGCAAGTCCGTGGCCAGAAAACTTTTGGGGTAAGGTATTTTCTCTTACTGTTTTAAATTTAAAATTAGAATGCAAAGAAATATACTGCATAATTTATTAAAACATTGGAAATCTGAGAGATTTTGTTTACTGTATTTAATTACTTAAACAAGTTTTTATAGTTTATTACAAGAAATAAATTCATATAAAATGTCTTTAACGAGGACTATGAAGATATTCAAGAAGAATCCAGGGTGTATAGATTTTGGTTGGTGTTACAAAATGTAATTAGAAAATAATGAGACTAAAAATAAGATACATAAAATAGAGGTAATTACTGTTTGGCATATAGAATGTGGATTTTGTTGAAAATTGTTTTATTTATCTTAAAGTTATACATTATATATTTTATCTTATGAAACCATTTTCTTCTATAGTGGTTATTATTTTATCTTACGTTGTCAGGCTATACTCTTTAATTTCCAAAGTGAACTTAAATAACAAATCTGTACTTGAATGAATTTCGAATGTGGTAACAGATAAATGAATGAATTTAGAGTGTGATAACATTGATAAAACATGGAATAATATTATGAAATTTGAGAAAACTATAGTAGAAAAAGATTAGTAACACATGTAATATTCAATGGAAACCTATCACAGGAGCAAAAAGGAACAGTATAAAAGTATTTTTTGGTTGATTCTAGTCACAGCTAATAGTCTAGTGTTCCCTGATGCTGAATGAGGGGAGCAGGACTGTACTGAGGTCCAAACGACCAGATGTTCCGAGGTAGAGGTACAAGGAAGAAGGACTAAAATGAAAAGTTGATATATACCCTTGGGTTCAGAGATATTTTAAAAGTAAAGGGGAAATCTGAGCTAAATCCAGAAAAAAATCTTTAATGGAGAAAATGACTCTCATAAAGAGATCTATATTCCTGCTTATACATTCAGAACAAGTTTTTAATACTCTCAGAAAACTACTTCAGACTTTCTGTTGTGATTCAAGGCAGGGTTTGGGGGTATTTTCATGTCAACAGTGAGCAGCAGTGACTGACTGTTTTCTGCGATCTGGCCCACTTGTCTACCATCACAGAAATTTGCACAAAGGGAATTAACTCATTCAAATATGGAGCACAGATGTCTTTGATGATTTGGAAAAAATGCATGAAAGATTGCAATATTGCTTCTGAGGTAAAATATTAAGTGTAAAATGTGAATACAAATATAAATAAATAAAATGTTAACATTTCCTGAAACAGATCAATCATTTTTATTTTCATTTCTTTTTTATATCTAAATTGATGTGTTTTGAACACAGACTCCCCAAAAATGTTACTTTCAGAATCTGTCACAGTACAGTGTAATGCACTATTATGACTTACAAAATTGGTTGTCAGCTTGGCATTTTGAATTTGGAATAAAGAAAGAATAGGTTAGAAAAGCAAAACTTATACATTAAATCACATAAATTGATCAGGCTTACCACTATTAAGGTATGCAAAAATTGTTTTCCAAATATGACTTTCCTGGTTTACTTTAACAAGTGCTAAAAAATAAGATAAGAATATTGGATTTTACCAATAATGATAGCTTACATGTTCACAGTTATCACGCACTAAAACTTACTAAATGTGTGTCAGAGTTAAGATAATTAGTGGGAGTGCTGGCAGCAAAGTGGACCTGAGATGACAGTACAGATATAGATCACCACCTTACACTTCCCATCTTTCCTATCTTTAATGCACTTCTTTTCCTTACCCATAAATGCAACAGGAAACAAAGCCCGTGAAAATATGCTATGCCTTGCTCTAAGGAAATAGGAGACAAATATTGAGCTCAGTTATTTTCTTATACTAGAGCGTTCTACAGAAGACATATTTTTGGCTTTTTCTGCCATCTTACTTTGCATTTTTATTTTCCTTTTGGCTAATGTAGTGAAAAATTGGGAGAAGATATTGTTGCAAGGGCTGTCATTTATTCATCTAATATAATTCTCATCTCGAACACAAAGTCTGTCTAAAGAAGATTATACTCTTGGAAGTGATTATGTGTCCACACATACGTATAAGTACAAGCCCATATAGCGATGGAATAATATAACACATGATAAAATAGCAATGATTGACAGTATGTTATGAGAAATTATAGATACATGGCTGAAATGATCCCCAAATTCTTCTCAGAAAAAAATGGAGTGCTATCTGTTCTTAGAAAGTCAGATACGTTTCAGGCAGGGAGATAATTCTAAGAACATTCTAGTCAATCATTTCTTCACAATAACTCATTCTCATTCAATTCATTAGCTCACTCAGAAGCACTGATTGACCATATTAGGCAACGTGTTAGGAGTCAGTGGCATAAACATTCAAGATTTCAAAAAGCTCAGAATAAATATTATCAGCAAATATATGGAAGGAAAAAACATCCAGGCATATTTGTGAAGGCACTAGCCTGACTAGAAAGTTTGCATATGGAAGTTACAGGGACATAGCTGGAATGGAAGGTTGGAGGCGACTTTCTGTAAGATTTTGAATGTCAGTGTAAAAGTTTGACTTAATTTAACCCAATCACTTGCAATTTAGTGACTTTAAGTCTTTCCACATTCCTCCTTCCTAGGAAATTTCTTTAAGGTTGAAAAGAGTGTGGGTATTATATTCTATTACGAGAATTGGAGGGAGACATCCTTTGGTGCTTGATCAAATTCTGGCCTCTAGTGACATCTACTGACTTGTGTTTCTCATTTGCTTTCGGAGCTTTGTCCTGTCTCCTGCTATCTCTACTGCTGAAGTCTCTTACTATGAAATCTGGTTCATAGATCTGTGTAACATTAGCTAACAGCATGCTGCTTCTTTCTGTAAGTACCTGTGGTCTACTGGGCCTTGTTCTGATACTTTTCCATCTGCCTCAATGACATGGAACAGTTTTGAATGTTGTCCCATAGCTCTAGAGGGGCAGGAGCCTCAGGAAGTTGGACTACATCGGGTGTCCTTAGCCTGGATGTACTAACACTACATCCCTTGCCCCACACCTCATGTCCTGTTCTGCCCTTGAGACACCTGGGGTTTCTCAGAAGGGCTTGTCATCTTTCCCATCTGTTGTCTTCCCCAGGAAGTTGGGAATGAATACCAGTTTCTCTGGGATCCTCTAAATCCATCTGTTGCTCATCAGAGAGGGACAGAGTGATAGTATCTTTCTCCAAAATCATTACCAGTCATACACTATAGAGCTTTTCTCCTTGTCTCTCCAAAACTCCTCTTCTTTAGACTGTTCATAGTGATTGACCATGGTTTATTCTTCCCACCATTCTAATAAAAATTTAGGCTCAGCATTTTGAAACTTAAAAAACCCCCAAACACCCTTTTCCCTCTCAAAATATCTAACTATTGCAGTGAAAAATGTTCATTTCTAAACTATTATTTATTCTGTATATTTAACAATTCACTTAGTAATTTAAAGTGAGGTTCTGACTTTCTTTTTCTATGCATCCTTGCTAACAGTCTTTCTGCAAGTATCTTATGTACTTTTTCAACAATTTATTAAGAAATTTTTTTTTTTTTTTTTTTTTTTGAGTTGGAGTCTCACTCTGTCGCCCAGACTGGAGTGCAGTGGCCACTCCCGGTCACCGCAGCCTCGGCCTGCTGGGCTCCGGTGATCCTTCCGCCTCAGCCTTCCAAGTAGCCGGAATTACAGGCGCGCACTACCACGCCCAGTTAATTTTTTTTTTTTTTTATTGTAGAGATGAAGTCTCACTGCCCAGGCGGGTCTCGAACCCGCGGGATCAGGCAATCCACTCACCTCAGCCTCCCAAAGGCACGGGATTACAGGCTGAGCCACCGAGCCCAGCTAAGAAAATGTTTAAGCATACAGAAACATTTGAAAAATTATATAGTTAACATCCATAAACCTATCATCAAAATTTTATTGTTAATATTTTCATAATATTTATTTCATTTATCAACCTATTCATTGAACACATCAATTCACATCTCTCGAATTACTTCATATGCATATCATTAACAGGAATTTAATATTCTTTACAGTTTTTTTCTTATAAAGTCAAATTTACAGACTGGGCGTGATGGCTCACACCTATAATCCCAGCACTTTGGGAGGCCGAGGTGAGAGGTTTGCCTGAGCCCATGGGTTCAAAACCAGCCTGGGCAACTTGGTGAGACCTTATCTCCACAATAAATCAAAAATTAGCCAGGTGTGTTGGCGTGTGCCTGTAGTTCCAGCTACTTGGAAAGCTGAAGTGGAAGGATCGCATGAGCCTGCACTCCAACCTGGGCGACAGAGTGAGACTCCAACTCAAAAAAAATTTTATATACAATGAAATGTATAAAATGAATGAAATTAAAGTGCACACCTCATAACAGAATATTTGCTGAATTTTGGCAAATACATTCACCTTTGAGTGACCCAAACTCCTATCAAGATACAGAACATAATCCTCAACCCAACAAGTTTCCTAATACCCCTTCCCAGTAATCTTTGTCTATACCATCCCCAGAGGAAACCACTCTTCTATTTCTGGAACATATTGGTTTTACCTGTTCTAGACCTTCCTGTAAATGAATTCATAGTGTTTACTTCTTTGTATTCGGCCTCTTTCTTTCACATAACATTTAAAATTTCTATTCTATTCATGTTGTGTGTTACTAGTTTGTTCTTTTTATTGCTGAGTAGTATTCCTTATATATTACAAGTTATTTATCATTTTTCATATCTACGGACACATTGGCTGATTGCAGTTTTGGCTGTTAGTGGGTATACTTGTAAAACTATTTTTTGTGTATATGTGTTTTCACTTTTCCTGGGTCACTTTCTAGAATTGGAAATGCTGGATCACAGGGTTGTTCAATTTTACAAGAAACTACTAGGCATTTTTTTTCTAAAGTGGTTGTACAATTTAACATTCCTTCAACAAAGTGAGGGTTCCAGTTGCTGCACACATTTCCCTTCTTTTTGTTGTTGTTATTGTTTTTAAATTATCAGCCCTTTTAATTTTAGCCTTTGTTGTCTGTATTTGGTTGTATCTTGTTATGAT